GGGAAGTAGAAAAGTTCCTGTGGTCCATGGGAGGCTAAGTGGGAGGAGTGCTTGAGCCCAGGAGTTCAAGGGTGCAGTGAGCTATGATTGTGCCACTGCACTCCAGCCTGTGTGATAGAGGAAGAATCTGTCTTTAATTTAAAAAAAAAGAAAAAAAAAAAAAAAGTCTGTGACCAGATACAGTGGCTTGCAACTGTAATCCCAGCACTTTGGGAGGCCAAGGCAGATGGATCACTTGAGGTCAGGAGGAGGCCAAGACCAGCCTGACCAACATGGTGAAACCCTGTCTCTACTAATTAGCTGGGTGTGGTGGCACATGCCTGTAATCCCAGCACTTTGGGAGGCCAAGGCAGATGGATCACTTGAGGTCAGGAGGAGGTCAAGACCAGCCTGACCAACATGGTGAAACCCTGTCTCTACTAATTAGCTGGGTGTGGTGGCACATGCCTGTAATCCTAGTAAGTGTGCATCAGCATGCTTGACTAATTTTCTTTAGTTTTATACAGATGGGGTCTTGCTATATTGCCCAGGCTGGTCTTGAACTCCTGGGCTCAGGTAGTCTTGGAAATAGATGTTGGAAATAGATGATCAGTGCCACAAATAAAAATTAGCACCGAGACAAAGGATCTTTCAGCAACACAAGTTTTACTTCCTGGACTGCAGGAAGGGCACTCCTGGTCAGCATTGTGCCATGAGAGTACAATGAACAAAGGTGGAACCAAGCAAGCTGATCCCAGTTCGATTCCATAACACAAGAAGCAGATGCCAAGGTGGAATATGATGTGCAGGAGATTGACAGGAAAAAAAAAAGCCCGTGAAGAATAAAGGAAAGGGGGAGCAAGAATAAGCATGGATGGGCCGAGTGAGGTGGCTCACGCCTGTAATCCCAGCACTTTGGGAGGCCAAGGCAAACAGATCACCTGAGGTCCAAACTTTGAGACCAGCCTGGACAACATGGCAAAACCCCAACCCTACTAAAAATACAAAAATTAGCCTGGTGTGGTGGTGGGCACCTGTAATCCCAGCTACTTGGGAGGCTGAGGTGGGAGAATAACTTGAATTCAGGAGGGGGAGGTTGTAGTGACCTGAGGTCACACCACTGCATTCCAGCCTTGGTGACAGAATGAGCAAGACTCCATCTCAAAAATAATAATAATAAAAATTTTTAAAAATAAACTTTTTTTTTTTTGAGACGGAGTTTCGCTCTTGTTACTCAGGCTGGAGTGCAATGGCGCGATCTCGGCTCACCACAGCCTCCGCCTCCTGGGTTCAGGCAATTCT